TTCGTGTTGGATACCCTTCTTTTGATATGGGAGAGTGAGATGAACACAACGGCGTCAAATCCGAGAGCTAATTACGCTGCAATTATGTTGGATGATGGGAGGATCCTTTACATTGGAGGTCTGAACGATAAGCAAAGTTTTGTGCCGATGGATCAGGTGAGCATAATTGCTTTCAAACTTTTTGGAAAGATCGATTAATTAGATAATACTCTTTTGTGAAAGATTGATTTGAGAAATTAAATTAATAAATATATACACAGATATTGATCTACGACACAAAAACTTCGACGTGGAATATGACTGTGAGTTTATACTGTCATTTTTCTTTGTAAATCAAGATGTCATTAATAATGACTATCCTTAAACGTCTGCAAATATACAGGCCGCTGTGGGCAAGATTCCAAGTGTCCGCATACGACATTCTGCTGTTTTAAGTAAAATATTTACCCAACATAATTTCTTTAATACATATGTTAGATTAATTACATTCTCTGTTTTCAGCAAATGATGGTCGAATAATAATTTATGGAGGTTCACAAAATGATTCAATGCCAGCAACCCCATCACTCGCAGCCCTAAGAAGTGTTGATTTCATGTGGTTGGAAATAAATGAATCCGGCACCAAGCCTCCAAATTTACAATCTCATACTTCTACGTTGGTCGGTGATTTAATGATCGTAGCATTTGGTAGGAATCACTGTAAATCAATCAAATGTCAATTATCATATAAATCTTTCACACTTATCATTTGTCATTTTAACAGGAAACGTGACGAAATTCCAATCTCTACCCGAAGGATCCACCTCAAATATTTATATTTTGAATACCGCTAACTACACCTGGACAACTCAATTCACACCGCTTTCCTCTCCGGAATCTACATACAATGGTTCGGATACGCTTCCTATTGATTTATCACGTACTAATGCGATATTGGCGATAATTATTGCGATATCGTGTTTGTCATTTTTTATGATGTGCACGATCATTTGTACAAGGCTTTATAAAAGACAAAGAAGAAATGTGGTGGTCGGAATCGACAGATAATGGAGATAAGGGTTGCCGAATTATAACTATAATTGTAAATATCTGTAAAATTTGGGTTGGGGAAAGAATCACTTATATTCGTGTACATACCGAAACCATTCTGTTCTTTTGTTAGAAGAAATTATTCATCAATCATCAGATTCTAGTTTAAAGATTAATTCACAATCAAATTCTAGTTCAAAGATTACTCATACATTACTTCTAATCATACGCCGAGAGACTGTACAGAAAAGGTTTAAATAGTTACCATGCTTTTTATATAATTAATATTCATACACCCAGCATGCTTTTGTTTAATAAGCTGATTAACTGTATAGGTCTAGACTTCATTTAATTACATGTTTTACAAAAGCTGTGCATTTCTTGTTAATAAAATATAACATAAATAAAAAAGTTCAATCCAATTTGATTTTTTTGCTTTATTTATAAATGGATATAAAGTTATTTCCTAAAATTGCAATCTTAAATTTTATTATATAACTCATAACATAATTTTATTTGATAAAAAAGTAATTATTTTAAAGCTTAAGTTATAGGTTTTTTTATTTTTTTATTTTTTTTTTTAGCCTGCAATCAAAATGGAGTTATTTATTTATTAAATTATAGAATTATTTACAAGTATAAGAATACATACAAAGTATAAATCTTTTCAACATAGCTTACTTGTTAACAATCAAAACCTCTAGATGAAATTTATGGAAATGATATATTGCTTTTCTAATAGGTAGGATTAAGATTCAAGCCTTTTAATAGAATTAAAACCTGCATATCATTTCTATAGTTACAACCATAAACTCAAATTATATCACTCTTTTTTTGCAAAAACTATATAAGAGAAAAAAGAAAAAGAATAGAAAATAAAATAAAAAACAATATAAATGTATATAAAATAAAAGAGATTGAAAAAAAAAATCATTATTTAGTCTAATTATTATTGAAAAAATTATCTCAATGAATAAAATTCAAACCTTTAATAATTGCTAATATATTTACTTCTTATACTTGTGATTAGTTAAATTGTTTAATTTTTATTGAAATGAATAATATTCAAAAAAATATTTTTTAAAACTTTATATTTAAAGATTTTTAATTAAAAAGAATATTAGTTTTTATTATTGATTTCTTTTTCAAATTATAATTTTCAAAATTATTGCTTTGTTTAATTAGTAAATAGTTTTAAAAAAAAATATTCAATTATTTTTAAAATAAATATTATTACTTTAACTTGTTATTAGATTGAAATACTACTTAAATTTTATAGCCTTTTAAAAAAAATAAAAAATAAATTACTTTTTTTTATTCTTAACTTTGATTTTATTTATTAATTTTATATTATTTTTTTAATTAAAAACTATTTAGCTTTTTTAAAAAACCATTATATTGTAAATTTAATATTGTATAATAAAAAAATTGTAAAAAGTATATGTTTTATTTATATTTTTTATAATTAATTAATTATCTTTTAGGAAATCCAATATAATTAAAAATTTAAAATCAAACTAAGATAAGTAAATTTTTTTCAAAAACAAAATTAAAAATTAAAAAAAATAATAAAAAAATTAAAAGCTTATTTTATTTTTCTGAATTCTTAAACTTTTTAAAAGTATCTTTCTTATTAATTTTCTTTTTAAAAAGATATTTATATCATAAATCTTTTATTTTAAAAAAAAATCCAACAAACAAATAATAGCTATTGCTTATTTTGCTAATTAAAAAACCAATATTAATAATATATACATATATATATACTTTATTAAATTAAATTAAATTATTAATCTAATTAATAAACATGAAATTATTACTTGATTTTAAAAATATTAATAAATTTAATTTTTATAAAAAAAATTATATAATTTATAATTTTTTATTTTAAAAAATTTTAATAAACAATTTTTATATAACTTTAAAATTAAAAATTTAATTATAATTTATATAACAATCTTGAATTACATATCACATGACCTGATTGTTCTGATAACCTGGATCCTATAGATTAGCCTGAGCATTCTAATTAGTAATATGTGAATGACACAATATTAATCCCTAATAATATGATTCCATAGTTATTTATATATATTTTTTAATTTAGAGTAACTATAAAATGATTATAAAATAATATTAGCAAAAAACAAAAAAAAAAAATCTTTCCTGCAAATCTCCAAATTCCTAAAAATTTCCTTTTTTGGTAATACTACAAAACACTCAAAAAACACTCAAAGAAATACTCAAAGAAAACATCCAAAGAAAAATTTCACAATATTTTCTTGAAAACAAAGGAGGACTAATATAACAGATATACTATGGGTTCAAAAAGTATATTAACCCTTCTTTATTTCTTAAATTTAAAGACAGATACTTGTGATTTCTCACTGGAAGAAAAGGAAAAACAAGGAATACAATTCACAGTAAAATTAAAAGAGAAAGTTAGCACTGCACTTCACAAGCTGCTAGTCAATCGTGCACCAGATTAGATACCTTCCTAAACACCAGCAGGACTCAGTATTGGCCAAATCACACCTGATAAACCAGGCAACCTTGCACACCAACACAAAATCAGAAGGGTTCTAAGACTTTTTTATTACTGTAATTAAAAAGAAAAGTACAGATCTCAATATTTTTTGAAGATAAACAACATCTGTTACGCAATCAGTTTTTTGATGGAGACAAAAATCAGAGACAGGTTATCCCCTTCCAAAGATCAACAGTAATACAAATACATACTTTTCAGAATCAAACAATATCAACAACTGTCAAACAAACAAACACAGCAATTCAAAACATGACACGTGTACCCAACAGATTCAAAGTTTATCAAAGTTAACTTACTTCCAAAGCAAGATCTGCAGTAGCATGAACACGCTATCACTACAAACAAAGCAACAAGACACAAACAGAGCTTACCAAAACAAGCAGTCCACAAACAACTTGGCATAAC